ACTGGAGTTTTGGTGCTGTTCTTAGAACTTAATTTGATATACAGGCACTGAAAAATTGTGCTTGTCCTAATTCTTGGCCATTATTAAAGTAGGAAAAACTTGGTGGAGGCTGGCATTGCCCAAGGGATCCATTTCAGGGAAGCATGGAGAAGGCTAGGGCTGGGGCCCCTGGGGCCCAGGTGATGGGATCCTGGAGCCCAGGGCTCTAAGGACAGACTCAGGAGGCATGAGGGAGCATCCCTGATCCTGACCCCATTAGAAACTGAATATGCCACAAGCCCATACTTCACTTTCTCACTTACCTTTGGATAGTGAATACAAAATCAACCCTACAACTGCAACACCCAGGACACAGCAGAGTACTCCCAGTGAAATGGAGGCCAGGCGATAGGGTGAGAACTGGAAAAAAGTCTCTGGAAAGCAATTCACAAACTCCTTAATTATTGCTGAAAGGTGAATGCAATTTGATTCTCATTTAAGGGATCCTTTATATTCCAAGATGAAAACAACATGTTTCTTTAATTTCCTCTAGAGGTTTCAAACTTTGCAGTTCTGGATAAGTCTCCCCTATAAATCTGTATGGGTTTTACTTTTATATATAAAATGAGGTAGAGGTTTGATTTTCTTTCCTTCTATATGGATAACAACTGTGCCAGCATCATTTGTTGAATGGACTTTTCTTCACACACAGTTTCACATAATATCACCTCAGTCTACATTAAGTTTCTGTTGAAGCTTTGGTTGTTTCCTGACTCTCTGCTCTGTGCCGTTGCCCACTTGTGTATCTCTGTGCCCATAATTTTGACTGGCTTCATCATCACGACTCTGAGATATGACTTGACATATATTAGACTAAGGTTCTCAGTTTTATCTTATTTTGCTGTGTTTAGTAATTCTTAGCCAATGGCTCAACCACATAAATTTGGAGCCAAGTTATCTAGTTTAAGAGAATTCTGTTGAGATTTTCAATAAAATTATATTGATTCTGTATGTTAATTTTCGGAGAACTGATCTTTAAAATATTACATCATCTTATCTAAAAAATCTTATATCTCCGTATTTAATTTTCAATAGTATCTTTTAATAAGGATTTGTATGATCTTCAATAAGAGTTTGCAAATATTTCATTGGATTTACTCCTAGTCAACATTTTTTGGTTGCTCTTATAGATAGCACGTTTACTTTTTTCTTGGCTGGTTTGCACAAAAATGCAATTAATTTTATTAATCCCATATGAACATGATGAATTCATTTATGAATTGAAAAAATTACGTTTATATTCTTCTAAATTTCTATTTTATATCACCACATACCCTGTGAACAATGGCCATTTGATTTCTTCCTTTCATGCGATTTCTAAATAGGTTGTTTTCCTTAAAACCTTTATTCTTTCCTTTCTTGACACTAATTTTTCTGTTATGATTCTCCTTATGGTAATATTTGTCTGGTATGCTTTTGTTAAACTTTTATTTTGAATAAATATGTGTTATTTTTTTTCTTACAAATTAGCAACAGTCAAGTTTTAAAAATCCAGTCTGATATTCTTTGTCTTTTTATTCACAAATTAAGTGCCTTGATATTAAGTTCTTTTACATATTTGAGTTTACATAAATTATACTATTATTTTTAAATGTTTCCCAAAATTATTTTTATTTTTGTTATATCTTGTTTCATACTATAATGATTTGATATTTTCCAAAATATGAGTAAACATTTTTTTCTTGGTCCTCAAGTTACGTTTCTTAAATTTTGTGCATGTTGATTTTAAAGGGTTGCACCATGAAGATGATCATGTAATGAAGGAAATGTTTGACCCTACTCCACTGCAATTGTAGACAATTGTTTCCACATAATCTAATTTTATGATATTTTCTTTATACTTCATGTATCTTATACCTTCAAAACTAATCATTAAACCTTGACAATACTACACAATAACACTGAAATAAAGCCTACTTTTCTCCCTAGTGCTACACAGATATGAACCTCTCCCCATTCTTCTTCCTCCTCACTCACCTCTTATCCATACCCTGGATTCCACCTCTCTGCTGTGGTCAGAGTTCTGGATAGAACATGATACACTCCCAGCATTTTCCTGGACTATCAGGGAAGTCTCCACATCAAACAGGCCACGTCTGTCTGCATTCACCTTTGAGTCTGAGGGCAAATCATGTCCTTGTGGGTCTTTCCACTTCACTGTGGGCTGAGGAAACCAGCCTGAGGATGTGCAGAGTAGCTGGATGCCTCCATCCACGTATCCCATGATAGAAACCAGAGGAAGTGAGCCTAACGCTGGGGAGAAAACAGAAAAGAGATGAAAGCAAAATCATATACCAAGCCCACAGCTTCTCTGAGGCAGGTTCATCAAGTCCAAAGATGTAACCCCTCACCCCCATGGCCATTTCTCTCTTACATACACATAGATTTAGAACAGTTGTAAGCCCTCCATGGTGTGTGTTCAGTCAACATGCATTTTACAGCTACTATATACATGCGTATTCCCAAACACTAAACATGATAAAGAAAATAAGACAGAGTGCATTGTAATAAATAACTTGCTGACGAAAAAGGAGACAAATGTACTTTATTGAGAAATGTGCAGATAGGAAGCACATTTCTCTAATATGGTCAAGTTAGCACTGAGGAGACAGTGATTGTCATCGCAAGTCATGGCTTCCTAGAGGTGACATTTGCACTCTGTTGTGTCAGATGAATAGAAGGTTTTAATGCGAACAAAGAGAAAAAAAGAAGCATGATAGGCAGAGGGCCCAGAACATACCACAGCATGAGGAGTGGACATGCCTTATTATGCTCAAGAACCTATGAGCATTTGGCATGTCAGGACTGTGATGTGCAAGAGGGGATAGGTTTGAGGTCTGGGGGACAGTGGCAGGACATGGATGAGTGCACTGACCTACAGAATGTGGACCATGTCCTGTAGGCACTGGAGAGCTGTTGACTGGCTTCCAGCAGGTAAGAGTGATGAGCAGACATGCATCTTAGAGAACCCCCCNATCAATTCTTTGGACTTGGCACAGAAAGGTGAATAGCTATTCAATGGGTGATGTGAAATAGAGGAAAGTGAATTAATTTGGAAAAAATAAACAGAGATCATGTTGGAAAAGTTTAATATAAAAACACATCATCCACTGACACCAGGCCACCGACAAGAGGCAGCATGATTCACATTCACTGTCTCTTTTCTTCACTCGACCCTGAGATGGAATTCCTGTCAGTTTTACAGGTGAGGAGCCCAAGAGCTTATTACTTGTCAAAGGTCCTTTGGCTGCACAGTTGGTGCAAACCAAATGCACCATCAGCCTTCTTCCGTCCCCACCTCAGGGCAGCCATGACCCTTGACCCCACATGGATGGGCCAGCCCACTTCATCTGGAAACCATGCTGCTGTCTGCTGCAGGGCTCTGGAGCCTGAGAGGAAGCTCAGTGTCCTGAGGGAGAGTGTGAGGTGTGATTCCCTCTGGGCACCATGTTGGACAGGAAGGGTGTGGTCACCTGTGGGGTGGGCTCCAGGTTGTCTGTGTCAGAAAGTGCTTCTTCTTCTGATCCCGGGGAAACTGGGCAGATCACAATGGGAGTCACATTTTTCTCATCACTCACATAATGCTGTATGTAGGGCCTCAATAACCCTTCAAACTGATGTGTCAGGGTATAAATGAAGGACTGATCATTTACATTGAAAAAGGAGATGGTCCCACCCTCATAGTCTAGGAAGACTCCCACTTATGTAGGGCTTGTTCTTGAAGAGAGGATGATTCTATAAGGGTTAAATGTGAGATAGCAATGTTCGCTATCCAGTCCAAGCAGCCAATACCCATAGTAGGGACACAAAGTCTCACATGTCACATTCCTATTCACGTCGTCCCTGCATACTCCCAAATTCCACATTAGATTGTGTCCCACGTCCACCTCCCAGTAATGTTTTCCTGTCTGGAATCCCTGAGAGGCCACCACACACACTTCCTTGTAAACCTCTTGTCCGAATCGTTCACCTTCTGGTGAATGTTCCTATAGCACAAAATTTTCAGATCAGAAATGTGGAGCTGGGGTGAGCCGTCTCTGGGTCCAGAGTCACCTCCACTAGGGTGTGGTGGGAGAGAGAGAGCATGAGTTACTGAGGAGGGACCTGGGCTGGATGCAAGGGTCACCCCCTCCCACTGCTGACAAGCTTGGGGTGAGATCAGGTGAGGTCCCAGAGCCACAGGCTCCATCAGACACAGCCCCCCTCCCCTCTCTCACCTTTGTTGGGGCCCTAGGGCCTCATCAAAGCCTGGAAATAGCCAACTGTGAGCTACTACCACTGTATATCACCCCAGCCCTACCACTGTACCGCCACGTGCGTCCACTGTGTGACTTTGTGAGAGCTTGATCATCCCCTTTAACCAGATAACTTCCATTCTGAGTCCTGCCCAACTTCACCTCCTTTCCCTTCAGTGCATCCCTTGGCCAGTCACCAGTGCCCTCAGGTCCCTGGAGCTTAGCCTCTGACCCCCTACCCTGGCTAACCCAGCCCCCTGCCCTCTCCCCTCCTAGTCCTGGGCCAAGAAATGAGCCTGGGGCAGCAGCCCCTTGGGATGAATTGGGCCTCACAGATTTATAATCTTCAGTCCAGTGTGTCTCAGTGTTCCTGTTCCCCCTTGTCTGTCTCTGGTCGACTCCCTCTCCCATGCCCATCCAAGGCTCTGTCCCTCTGTCACCCCTCAGGCATTGGTACCTGCGTGCTTCTGGGCCTCTCTCAGTTCTGAAAACAAGCAGACAGAGCAGGAGAGTCAGTGATCACATGGAGAGCAGGAGGCAGGGAGACAGGAGACCAAGAGTGGTTAACTTTTGTGGGTGTCACGGGTCCACCAGAACTGCTGAAGGCCATGGGGTTCTCTACAAAGGCACCTCCTCCAGCATCTGCAGATGGTTTCAGGGTCCCCTTCACAAGCTTGTCTCTGCAGAGACCCATGACCTCAGGGTCTCAAGATTCATAAAGTAGGAACTTGTAAGGAGAGATAATGGGGGTGGAGGGAATAGCTTCTCTCACCTGCAGCTCCATGCTTCCTTCTCCAGTCTGAAAACCAAAAAGACACAAGATGCTGAAATCACAGATCAAGGGCCCAGGTGAGAGTGTGAGAGGAAAGCCCTACAACACTCTTACCCTATTTACTGGGCTGATGCAAGTCTTGAATGCTTGTCTCAAACTAACAAGCCAGGCAGGAGGTTGAGGGAGATGCCCCAAGGGCTTTCTCCATCCTGGGTCCACACCATCAAAGAA